TGGTCTTGAAGTGCTATTCTGATTGCAAGATGTAGCACTGGCCAACCAAATCGATCTCGTATCTCTAACAAGGTCATGGGGCGTACGAGCGGTATCAATATCTTCAACGTTTTTTGGTCCACTTCTAACATGCGGTTCGATGCTTGTTCTGTCCCTTCCCGATGAAGGATTGCTGTCAGAGGTAGATATACCCGACGCGGCCATACTTTCGACAGTCGAAGTGGTTCTAGAAGGCGTTGATTCGAAATTCTGCCGAGATAGTCTAATAAGTTGACTATGACTGATTGCGTCTGGTACTCGTCAAATGCACGCTCCCAGGTGGGAGATGGCTCCTTTGGACGCTTCGGAACTCCGTAATCTAGCAACAGCTGCATTATGTCGGAATGAAGATAATGAGAGGCGCAAAGAAATGCTTTCCAAAATTTGAGTTTATAGTGATTCTTCCTTGCTTCGTGTAAGATCAACTGTACGGTTTCATTTTGTCGTTTACGACATGCAACATCGAGGGCTGTGCCAAGAGGACCACAGGTGTCGTTCAGGCATGTAATATCCGTCAAGAGCATTTTGAAAACTGTGTTTTGACCGCCCATTGCAGCGGCATAAAGGGGTGTGCTGTGGCATTTTTCAAAATCATGATTCCGGTAAAACCAGAAGGGGACAACATCTACGTTTCCCAATTGAGTCGGAGTAGTCGCCCCTTCGTCTTTGAGTCGACGGACCAAAGTTTCCAGTCCGAAATACGCCGCAATGAACAGTGGGGATGGTAACGACTCAAAGTCAGAGAATCGTTTAGTCGGAACAGGCCCCAAGTTTTCCTTCTCGCAATAAAAATAGAACCAAAAGCGGAAAGCTTTCTGCGGCTGTAAACAATGTAGGAGCTTCTCAGTCAGAGTTTGGTTTCCTTCTGACTTCCTCGCATGGATCATCAATCCGAGAATGACCATCTCCGTAAACGGGAACCTTGAAGCTTCGTTGTATAAAGAAGCTACAGAGACGATGTAACCGAGACTAACCTCAAACATGGCTGCTTTTGCTTGTGGCTCCTGGAAAGCCTCTCTGAATTCCTCATCTTTTTTCGTTGGCTTGAGGAGGTACTCCTTCACAGTCAAATGGGCAAGGCGGAGTCGATCCAATGTATGAGGCTTCTGCTCTGGTCTGGATAATATCCGGTCGATCGTCAACATTGTTGGACAAAATCGCAGTATGTCCTCAGTAATGGGCATCCAATAGTCTGGACAAAACTCCGGCCGGCGAGACAAGTCCACTGCTACAATGTCTCGCGCCTCTCCGATGCTGATACTTCGTTCAGAGAAGGCTAGAAACTGGAGAAGTCTGACAGCACTAGGCTTTTTTGACTCAGGAATTCGACACAACGCTCGGTTGTATGTTTCGTCCAAGGTCGCAGGAAGTTTTCTCAACGCTCGTCTTAGAGAAGCTTCATCCAGGCACTCCTCTAGGACTTCCATCTGACAAGAAACCCATCGAAACCTTCGCCCACAACTCGTCAGCATTCTGAATAGTCAGTAAATCATGTCTCGACTCACATTCCATTTGATTTGGACGTCAGATAGTTCTCAACCTCTTCCAGGATCTTGTAATTTTGATGCCACGTTTTGAAGCCTTCGCCGGACATCATAGTCTGAATATACTGTCTGATGTCCGACGAGACTGATTTGCTGTTCATCTCAATTGTGCGGCCGACTTCCGAGAATGTATTCCAAATGTCCAGCTCATTACGGCTAATTACAATGCAGCTGACTCGCTCGCCCTTCGACACGGACAAGCTTAGGAAGCATTGAAAGTAGCCCTCTTCGGTTTTTAGCCTCTTTCACCTCATCGAGGGCATCGATGACAATCTTGATGTCCTCGAAATAACCCGTGATGGAAGCAAACCAGTCGTAGAGGTTGGCCGTACTAGGTTGCTCACCCTTTACGGACTCGTGGAAACTGCTAAACTGATTCCGAGCCTCTTTGCTGAAATAATACATTTAAACCAAGAGGGCCCGGAGCATTTGATCACATGCTTGTTTACCTTGATCCTCGAAGTCAAAGTAAAAGTAGAGAACACCATGCATCTGTTCAATACAAGTTTTCCGAAGCGTCTAGATGATTGCTGAGCTAAGGACGGTCTTACCGCAGCCAGCAATACCATAAATTTAAAGGAAAGATTCCGGCTTGTCTCTCCATGACTTGAACTCATTTCCGTCAAGAAACCATTGGCAAGTGTCTTTTTGGCGTTGACTTTTCGCGTTCTAGTAGTCCCTTAATGGGTTAGGAGGATCCAGCCATTTCATAATTTGCTGTTCGGAGGTCATAATATTGCTGTGCTTGGATATATCGCGAGTCTCCCTCACATCATTAGAAACTTCTTAAAGTGAACAAATACCCATTTTAATTAAAGGCGGGACGGACTAACTACTATAGATAATTTCAGAGGCCTTTCGTGTTTCGTAGACCATTTCTGGTCTGGCAAAACTAAGAAGCTCTTTCGCAAATGAGGCTATAGTAGCTGCGGCATACCGCTGCCATTGGTCATTCTTATAAGAGTTCGAGTAGTCGCAGATCTCTCGAATGACCAGACAAGAAAAATCATTCATAAGACCAGCTGCTTTCATCTCGTAGCAGATACAATCATCCGATATATGCTTAAGCAAGTCGTCTCTCGCTACGGAGTCTTTAATAAGAGTATTACCAGGAGCGATGACGCCGTAGTAAATTTTCGGATCGTTTTTATTCTCGCGAGGCTCGCGCTCAACCTCCTCCTCTCTAGAATACCTCTAGCAGTCCTTTCCCTAAACGTGTTTATAGGATGATTTAAACAAGCGGTCGTTTTTTTTATTTTAGTATCTATAGCCTGGATTGTTCGGCCTTTTCTTAAATATTAATGGATTCCTCTCCTTCATTTCCTGGAGTATTTTCGGTATGCTTGATTCTTTCCTTTCATAATAAGACTGCAGCTTCGCAAGTGTATAAAGAAGTACCGGCGGTGGTGGATTAAGAATGCCCTTACGTTCTTTCCCACCCCCCGCTTTAGCCTTTAGGAGATCGTACTGCACAACACCCCCACTGCTTCCGCTCGGATAACCAACCACAACATTACCGAGCCGAAGATCGTAGCTATCGGGCCGAGGTATTCCTCCACCGATCCCAACAAGTAGACCAAACCTAATCTCAGGAAAGGTCGAGAGCATTGATGTCGCCGTAGTTGCAGCAGACACAATGCCATAGAAACCCGATTCTAATAACGTAATAACGATGTTGTGTTTTTCAATGCTGCCGAACGAGTACGATAGACGATCGCTTGTAGGTTATTGGAAGTCGCGAGGGTCTTCGTGCTGTTCGACGAGCAGGGCTTCAGCAGCGGCGCGTTCAATTGGTAGAGGGGCAAGCCATCCGCCTATGTAGCGGCAGTAGCTGTTCAATGCTTGGCGTTCTTCATCCATGGCCGCTAAAGAAGTGAAGTTACTCTACCTCAAGGCGGACACCGTAATGCTGTTGGAGAAGAGGACGACCAGAAGACCGTCGTGCGAGGCTGAGAACGAGTGAGTTGCGGTGGGGGGCGGGAGCTTAGCCTTGGATGAGCGTCTGCGTGCCTTGATTGCCTACACAGAGATTTTGTTTCGGTTAGACAGCTGAGCTGGGCGTTAAGAAGTTCGCGGCTTTCAGATGTTACAGACCAATTATTTCCGCCCCCAGCCCTAACTCCTGCAGTATCCATTTTTCTCGGGAAGGGGTCGCATGCAAGCATTTTTTACGAACCCCATGACAGAGCGGCAAGGACTAATGAGCTTTACATGCAGGAGAGGTGCACTGTCAGCAATTTAGTATGGGAAAATGGTCAAGATATCGGAAGATAAAATGCTTGCAAGGGACGCAGCGATCGCGCTGTAAGAACGGATGATTGCCTACTTAACGCGGTAGTAAGGGCACGTTTCACGTATAACCCACACTGATTTGCCTAAGACCGAGCAACTAGGAGCATTAAAGTAACACCGAATTGTGCCCAAGTTTTCTAACTTGTTTCCTAAAATGTATTTTAGTCAAAGTAAATTTCCAAGTCATGTCCAAGCGATAAGTGGGGGATGACACGAGTAAACGCCTCGCGGGCGGGCGTTGGCATTCCTTCCGCGACGCTAGGTAGTCGCAGCATGTAGTTGGATGGTAGATGCATAGCCTTGCTAAGCCAGCGAGTGGGCCACGAAGACCGCCTTGCGCCCCCTCCAATTTTGTACACGAGGCTGAGACAGCCCCCAACTCTACGCCACCATTCATCTGCTCAGCCGGCAGGGAGGCACAGCTTAGCCCGTCATTCTAGACCCGAAAAGTGGGGAGAAAAGTTAAACAGGTTGGGGGATACGAGATCACCGTGGCGCAAAGTATTGACGGTTCTGTAGTATACCGCAGATCAACAGGGAAGAGCTTCTGCGAGCCGCGCCATTACATAGAGCTTTAGCTCCACACTGGCGGAGCGGAACGGAGCGCAAGTGGGACGGGATGGGAAACTGCCGACCCGTCTCAACCCTTGTCCCGCAATCAGGACCATACAACTACTGTATACCATGCAGCTGATCTCAAAGTGATAGTACTTCGTCCCGCGCGCAAATTATCAGTGGACACTTACATCCGCAGTAAGCCTCAGCCTGGCAGCCTCGTCTACCTCTCCTTCTGCCATCAGACCATAGCCAAGAACATCGCCAAGACATGCGCCTTCGATCCCTGTGTCAGCCCAGCGACTGCGCATGGTTGCCTGTCAGCTGAATTCCAGCCTTGCCGCCGGTGACTGCCTGGCCTCATCGCCCCTTAATTAGCCCACCTGGCACCATTCTCTCCCGAAATACTCGATCAGCTTGCTCTACCTCTTGCCGGAATTCGCAACGTCTATATGCGCCGTTCTCTGAATGTGCGAGCCCCGTTTGATACCCGTCCCTAGCTCACGTGGGGGTTCTTTGAGGCCTTCTTTTCGTGTGGCCTGACGGACAGGCCCAATCTTCCCCAAAAACATGAAAGAGCAAGATGCCCAGCAGCAACAATCCCTGCCACCGCAGCAGAAGCAGCAGCAGCAGCAGCACAAAGAGCAGGATATACTCAGCCAGCTGCAAGAGATGCATGGCGCTCATCCCGGAACATTCCAAGCTACTATCAATGCCGAGCAACCTGCCGATGTGCTTCGGAACATGTATGTTGTTATCAGATCTTCTGCTGGATGAATGTAACTCAAGTATCCCATAGCGACACAGATATTGAGCTCGAAAAGCTCAATATTCCGGATTTGGGGGCTGTTGGCAGGGCATTCGAGAATGGGAAAGAGCCCTTCATTGAAGAGCACTACGGGGTAAGCTGTCTCCCTTCTTGTCCTAGCACTAAGGCCATGGTGTTAATCATTCTTCTAGGATAAGTTCAAACCTTCTTGGCGCAGAACGAATAGTCCTAGCCGCCTTTTTCTTGGTGGTGCGAATGATTTCTCGTCGCCTAATAGCCCCTCCGAGCTTTTCGTTCCACCGATTCAAGATCACGCATCTATAGGCTTTGAAGAGAATGTGCAGCATCAGCTACACATCTTACCTCCACGGCCTCGAAGCTGCCCACAGCTTAACACTGCCTCTAATGCTACCCCTCAAGACACTAGATCGAGGAGTCCGTACTTGCCTACGCTCCCCGGTACAACGCCGTCATCCGGCAATTTCATTACCCCTTTTACCTCGACTCAACCATCGCCCGGCACGACCTCTTCCTTTTGTACACTATATAAAAATGGCAGATTACTGGAAGAGGTCGTGCCATACAAACGCCGTAATGACAGCGGCTTAACACGCAAGTCATTCTCGATAAGAAACTTCGGAAGGCTCGAAGATCCCTTCGCCAACCGGCGTCGCATCCAAGCCAGGCCCCAGATCGCGCCGGTTCTAACCCATTTCGGCCAGTTCACCCAAACAGACCCACTAGGCCTTGTTCCACGACCTCTCAAACCCCATAGCCTACAGCCATCCGCCCTACCCCCTTTGCCAACACAGCCGCATCCGCCACTATCACAGTCCCTACAGCGTTCTTCTTTGCATTCTCGTATAGTAAAACAAGACGAAAGCCTTCGACTGCAGCCTTCCAACAACAATGAATGCCCAAGATGCCACCATCAATTTACCAGCAAGCCGCGCGACCTCAACCAGAATATCCGACATCACTTACAACTCTCCTGTCCAAAGCGGGATGCGATTGCACCACGGTTGTCGTGCTCAGTTCTGGGTTGTAGGAAAACGTTTTTCAGGCATGCCGCGAAGCGGGCACACGAGGAGAAAGAGCACGGCATGTCCAGCGGTGGGAGATGCAGAGAGGGTATGGGTGAGATGAAGGTATCGTACAGCGCCGGAAACATGCAAGAAGGCATGGCACTCCAGACCCCCATGCAGCGGCCAGAACTCAACAAAGATCAAAGTGCGGATCAACAGGTGTCTCGCCCTATAGACTCCTCGGTTATAGAAATGGCGCACCCGACCCTTCATAACCCGGCACTAATAGCAGACATGCAACCGAAACAACGTGATATCGCAAGAAGTTCCTCCTTCCAAGACTCTCCGGGGTATGAGGATGGGCAGGAGAAAGATGCAGCACGTATTAATCATGAAGGACTTGACAATGAACCTACATTTGCCACAGACGGGCAAGAGCTTAATTTGCCACCGAAAACCAGGCGATACCTAATCCAACAGTTTGCAGAAGAGCTTCTGACAATGATTCCGCCTGAAACCGTCTCTAAAGAGTCCTTAGACTGTATTTTCAAGGTCTTGCCTGATCTTCTGAAGCAGTATGCCATTCGACTTACAAAAGAGGAACAACCGCGGAACGAGAAAGTCGCAGTTAGATCGGTGCGGCAGAATCGAATGTAAGAGTCTGATTCATTGAAGATATTTTATAGTAGATTTAATAAGAGTATAGGTATATCGCTGCAGCACTGCGCAAAAAATGGCGTCAATACCAAGACACGAATCGCCGAAAACTTTTCCATAACGAGGGCCATGCCCAATTGAGTTCGGAAGAACGAGTCAACCAATGGAACAATGCAGATATCCCGCAATCTGAAGATAAGAATGAAGGCTCGACTCTGCTCGACCTTTCACTCTATATGCCCTACCTAATAGGAGGCGAAGCGTACAAGTGGCTCATTTCAAGGCTTCGCACGGAGTTCCTGTTAGCGGGACCAGACGCGTTCGCAATGAAACAGATCAGGGAGGCCATCCTGCAACGGTTTCCTCATTCAGAGAAAGCAAGAATGGTATTCCACTTAAACTGGAATCTGTCAGCCTTTTTTGAAGAACAAGGGTATAAGGGAAATTTCGCAGATAGAATCCCAAAAACCGTTACTATCACTGGCTCTTCAAATTTGGCGCAGGCAACCTCTTGTGAGCGATACCTGCTGGATATTTGGCCAACAACTGGAGCCCTCACTTTGATGGCGCTACAACATGCTATCTCTGAGAAGAAAGATGAAATGCTGGCCGGTATGCTAATTCCAAGAATATTGATTTCATCCAGTGGCTGACTACTCCATCGCAGATGACCTCCAAAATTCGAACCTACGCATTTCGCTCAAAGGGAATCATACAGAAGTAGAGATAATGGGTGACAAAGACTTCATCACTGATGTTGGTGAACAACTTGGATGGATAGGTGGCGCCCTACGTTCCTCTAAAGTCGATGGCCAAATGTGTTACTGTGTGCCATCAGTAACCTATTCCAAGGGCATTTTTACCATTGAGTATTCCTCGGAATCGGTCACACGTACGGAGACCATTATCAATGGGAACTGCTGGTACCCATTGTTCAATAATCCTGCGATCGTAAGAGGCTTCCCCATTGCCAAGAGACGCACTGGCTCCCTGAATGAAGAGCTGCCTGGTCTTGAAGTACCACTCAATATGATGGCCGAAGTAGCGGAAGCGAAAAGAGCCACGGAAATCGATGGGAGGCTGCTGATCAAAGGATTCTCCACATTATTTGTCCCGACAAAACGTGTGGATGATCTAGTCATGTGGCACATGCTATACAATGAGGACGGCGGTCGCATTTCCTACTTTGACCTCCGAGGGGTTGACATCGGTGATGCATCCGTCAAAGGCCTAACTTTCTCGGCTCTGGAGTCCAGTCGGCATATCCTTGGATGGTGCTCCGTAGCCAAGAATCTTGCAGGTGTGTCGATATGGTGGAATTATGTTCACAATGAATGGTCATGCTAACTCTCATATTAGGTTCGAGGCACGCTAAATACGATATCAAGGCGTCCGGATTAAGTCAGCCAGGTCAGGGCTGGACGTTCGAGAAGGTTTCGATATCTGGCGGCAAGATCATCAACGGCGGAGTAACTTTCGGGAAAGGAAACATCAACAACCCACTTCACATCAGGCGCCAACCCGTGTATGTGAAGCAAATATACGAGGCAAGCTGCAAACATGTCATCTTCTACGACGTTGGAGACAGGCGCGCGTGGCTTGTAAATGGCGCTGCTGCCCTTCTGCATCTTGCTCGCGCGTACCTGGTTTTCGCAAGCAAACAGCCATTCCTAAGTACTATGACCAAATTCCGTCTGGACGACCTCTGGGCACCGAATGACGAGTACGAAGCATCTGCTCCTTTCAAGATCCTTTGCAACAGCAAGAACATGGATCTCGTCATATACGAAGATTGGAAGCCGGCCAACGAAGCGATAATAGATGCCGAAGGTAACCTCGCTAAGACAGCAAAGGTCAAAGACGCTCATTTCCGGTTTCGTGATCAGGTCGACGAAATATACCACATTTGGGAACAAATCCAAGAGTTCCAAACCAAGATGACGGACAACATCAGGCTCACCGATCGAGACAAACTCCAAGGATTCAACTTCATGGACGTTGCCACAGGGGAGAGTCCCATCAAACCACGTTTCACGTACCTTGAACGCAGTGGCCGAGGGTGGGTAGATTTGGCAAGGTCTCTTGACGCCATTACGCTTTTTGGGCGCGGGTTTGGGGAGCTTCTTCAACCGTCATCTGAATCGAACAAACTCTGTCACTCATGGAGTCATGTTCCCACCGGCAAGGACTACTTGGCCGTCTCGATGTCCGATGTCCGCACAATCTTCGACAAGCGCGGCAATGCCACGGAAAGGCCAATGGAACTGGTCGACGGGCTTTTTTGGCATAAGGCTGATAAGCTGTTCGAACCCTGCGAGTGTGCTGATGCAGGCTCCAGGAAACGGCGATTCATCCTCGGACGTGGTACAACGTGCGACCGTGTTCAGGTCCTTCTTCCTCCATCCTTGGGGCGAAAGGTTGACCCTGGTCCGCTGGAGGAGAAAGGAGCCGTGATCTTTGGAAGGAGTGAGAGATACCGTTGGCATTGGCCGAATCAGGGGCAGCCCAACCAGACCACAGGGCCTGATGAAGATTCCGAGAGTGAGAGGCCGCAGAAAAAGGCTCGGAGCAGTTCGAGTAGTCAGGGAAGCCAGGTCTCGGAGGTTTTCTCCGGGGATACCCAACTGACTTCGGCTACGAGCGTTTCAGGAAATGCTTCATCTTCGTCACGTAATGGAGACGCCTGTCAAGAAGTAGGAAGCAAATTAACGGAACACCGTTATGTAATGAGGTAGATGAACTTACGAATTGACTTCTTGTGCCGCTTTGGAAATTTAAACAGTGAATATCAGACACCTGTCACGATATTTCTGATCGAAGCACGCAGAGCCCTTGAATTGGAGATACTTAATTTGATATTACCTCACAACTTGATAGAAATCGGTTCTCTCCCGCTCCTCAGCACATCATCCAGCATCTCCAGCCGATCCTGCCCCCAAAACGGCTCTCCTCTATACACATACACCGGCGCCCCAAAATACAGTCTCTCCTCCGCCTCCCGCGTCAATCCCGCCTCCTGCTCCACCAGCCCCTTATCCTCCCTCGCCCTCTCCAGCAGCCGTCCGCCCTCCAGCCCACTCGCATCCGCCACGGCCACAATAGTCTCCGGATCCGCAATATCCGCCTCATTCGCCCACACCGTCTCCAGCCCGCGCCGCGCAAACTCATGCACCGCCTCACTGTCATACCCAGACTCCCCAATAGCGGCAAGCAGCACTCTGTGCGCCAGCGACGGGTCCGCCGGGTAGAATTTCGGCTCCTGCACTATGGGAATGTCCCGGATGCGGCGCCAGCGCTCCATCTCGATCAGGCGGTAGGCCTGGCGTTGGATGGGGCGTTGCTTTACGGGGAGACCGCCTGAGATGGAGAAGATGTGGAGGAGGTTGATGGGTTTGTAGATGATTTGGGCGTTGTGGTGTTTGGCGAGAGCTTGCAGGCGGCGGCTGCCGATGTAGGACCAGAGGGAGATGAAGGAGAAGTAGTATTCGATGACTGGGCGGGCGGCCATGGTGATTGGTGGCGGCGAATGGCGAGGTTATTATTGGCGAATGGCGACGGGTAGTATTGGCGAATGGCAACCAGAGGAGCGTTGACAATCTGGACAGGGCGGGGGGGTTTTTTTTTTTAGCAAGCGGGATGGTGCAGACTCTATTCTCGGCAGATGGCCTCCCGAGCCGGCATGCTTGTTTCTTAAGCCGATTCTAGACTTGAGAAGGCGGAGAATTGGCTGTGAAAGATAAGGTGGTGCGGGGCAAGAGCAATGACGCAAGACGTAGCGTGCATCACACTAGTTGATCCCTGCATCACGAGCTCTGTAGTGGGGGCGGGGTAGCACAGATCTTGACCCTCGAAAATCTCGATGAGTGTTATTCAGTATTTCCAAAGAGGCATTGGAGCCGGAGGCCATGGTTGATTGATTTTGGTTCACATCATGAGTAGTTGAACCTATCGTCCGGATGTAAATGTACAATTTTTAATTCGACATCTGCGTCCGGACGATAGCTTCACCTACCCATGTATGTACCTTCCCTTATCTAAAATCTACAAAGCATATCTGAAATGCAGGTTTTCCTTGTCCGTCAAGTCCTTGAACGCAAGGCGATCGCCCTCTCGCTTATCCAGATCTAATTCATTCCTACGCTTGTTCTCCCTGTAGAGGAGAACGTACAGCGCCGAAGCAGACGCAATGGTTATACAATAACTGCAGAGATGTCAGCCGAGTACAGGGTGCCACAGCTGATAAACCAGCAAAAATACCAGATAATCAATCCCGTCCACAGCTCGGGATAGTGTTGTCCCTTCGTTTCGCTCCGCACCAGCTGAGGCCCCACGATGTTTCCTACGCAGTACGCGACAAACACAGCGGAGGCCATGAAACTTTTCTTTGTCTCACCCGCAACGTTCGCAGCGCCAAGCGTAACGGTCAAGCCGACGACCGGTCCAAAGAATCCAATGAGGGAATACCCCACCACGGGAGCAACTGGGCGATGGCCCCATTCCGACTTCCAGATGATGCTGAAGCCCGCAATTGTTGGAAGACAGCAAGCAAGCAAGAGCGGTATGCGAATGTTGCGGTACTTCGAACACAGCCAGCCGGTAAGCGGAATGCCAACGGCACAAACGGCGCCGAGCGGGAATTGAAAGAGAATGCTCTCCAGCGCTGAGTACCCGAAGGTCGAGACGATGAGCGGACCGAAGCCTGAGACTGCACCATTCACGGTGTACCTGTAAGTGATGCGTTAGTTAATTGGAAGATTGGGGAAGGTGAAAGAAGACCTACGCAGAAGCCATGATCAACGCAACCAGCCAAACCTTCACGTCAAGCGCCGCCTCTTTGATCTGGGACCATTTGACCTCCTGATTCCTCACACCCGTTTGCCCAGCACGTAACCGCTCCACCGCCACAATGCGTTCCTCCGGCGTTAAGAACCAAGCGTTCAGGGACGAGTTGGGAAGCGCGAAGCACCAGAGTCCGAAAAGGAAAGTCAAGCCCCCCGCTAAGACGTAGATGTATTGCCACGGCGTAAGGGCTCCGCCGCTGATCTGAGCGAAGCCGTAGTTGAGCGCGCCGCCGATGATGGTGAACCAGCCCGTGCCCGAGAACCACCATGTTTGCCGCAGCGCTTGCTCCGATTGGGTATAGTAACCGCTGACGGTGATCATGAATGCCGTAGGAACGATGGACTCGGTGAATCCTATGCAGCGATTGTTACTACAGGTATGTTCTGTGGGGGCTTTCTCATACGCACCGAGGAAGAACCGCTGTACAAAGAGGCCCTTCCAGTCAGTGACACCTGCAGTTGCAGCGCAAATGACTGCCCAAAGCATTACGGCGGGACCTAGTATGTAACGAGTGTTGAAGCGTTGTAACATGTAGGTCATGGGGTAGGATCCGGCCAGCTGACCAAAGTAGAAGATAGATGTGGCCCAGCTGAGCCTCGAAGTATCAGTTGTGGGTGGGGTGGTGGAATTATTCACGACGGAGAGGTGCAGATCTGAAGTCATGCCAAAGAGAGCTGCACTCCCTAGGATTGCCTGTATCAGTTAATGTCAGCAAAGATAAATCCCAAGCTTTCTGCCTTTCGGCCGTTTGCTAACCTTGTCATAATATACAAGACCATACCCTGCAACGCCAAGTCAGCAAGAATGCATAATTTCGATATGATGCTCTCTCACCGAGAACCATTGCAGGCATGAGAAACAGGTCAATCTTTCTAATTACTCGTCTTTCGATTTCTGGATCTATGGCGCTCGCCTCCTCCCCTAATAGCTCGACAGCCGGAGCTGAGATGGAGGTGTGAATCCCATGTTTCTCTGCATCCAATGATCCGGCGTAGTTGGGGCCGGAATCGACGGCAGTCATGATGATTTTGGTGATCAGCTTCCAGCGGCCGACTTTAAGTCCGAAGAGCCTTATCCACGGAGTGAAAATCTCTAAAGAGTCCTCTTGTTATTGCCGCATATCAGATAGAAACTGGCTTGAAGTCACTATAGTCAGTTAGCCGGAGAAATGCGGGGTACATTGTGTTCATCAGACCTTGGTTGAGACTTTCTGGGGATCGTTCAAGCACATTTCAACGGAGATTAAGTGCTCATGTACAAGAACGTCAATCCTTTTCCATGTTACGGTGCCAAGCTTTCGGTATGGTGAAATGCCGATCCGTCTCGCATCATTCACATCCTGCCATCAGATCCAGCTATGACGTGATTCACGCAAGCAATCATATCCTCTCGGTTGACATTTACCGAGACGGTCGGAATCCTCAACCGAAATAAATGTGGTAACTAACCGCGCGTATCTGATACGATAAGTACTCGATTAACGTGCCTTTCCACTTGAAGTCCATTCACACAGGCTCAGATCGGCATGACTACCAGCACTGAAACAATAACCTTACCATATGTGCAGGCACCGGAGACGTCGCAGTCTCTGGACTGGGCGGACTTGAGGACCCTCGATCTGTCTGAATTTGACCGTCCTGGTGGCAAGCAGTCTTTGGCGTCTCAGTTCCAGAAGGCAATTGAGGAAGTTGGTACGTCAATGCATTCCCGCACTTACGGCCGCACCAACGTTATACTCATAATTACGCAAAGGCTTCTTTTACGTCAAAAACCATGGCCTGAGCAGGGAAGAAGTCGATACTCAGTTCGCACTCGCGAAATCAGTCCTCTCCCTTTCGGACACCCAGAAGAAGCCTTACCGGGCCGCTTTGGAAGCCGGTGACTACAATGGATGGAAACCAGCAGGCATCCGCGACCTGATTCCCGGAGTCAAGGACAACTTCGAAATATACAACATTCCCAAGTTCATACCTGAGCACGCCAACCGGCCGCATCCGGAAATTGTGAAGCAGCATTGGGCAACCATTGAGGATTTCTCAAAGCGTGTTCATGAGCAGATTGTAAAGAAACTACTTGTTGTATTTGCCATTGCCCTGGAGCTTGAGGATGAAGAGTATTTCGTCAAAAGACATCGATATGAGGAGAGCAGTGGTGATCATCTCCGGTACATGAAGTACTACCACAGGACTGAGGAAGAGAACCGGAAACTCGGTGGTGTATGGCTCAAAGGGTGAGAAACCCTCCGAGATGTTCCCGTTTTTGGATTTAAAATATGTTGACACCAAGTTTCGTGTAGACACTCGGATATGGGGAGCTTGACGCTCCTGTTTCGTCAGCCTGTGGCGGCATTGCAAGTCTTGACCAAAGATGGATCCTGGAAATGGGTGCGGCCTCAGACAGACGCTCTCACTGTCAACCTTGCCGACGCTCTCAATTTCCTCACAAGTATGTCAAGTGGTTACGGTCTCAAGTTTCGGGTCAAAGGCTGACTGCAGCCGCAAATTGCAGATGGCTACCTCAAGTCCAGCATCCACAGGGTGGTTGCCCCACCGAAAGACCAGGTCCACATCGACCGCCTCGGCGTCATATACATGGTGAGGATCGAGGACGACACTGATCTGATACCCATTCAGGATTCTCCAGTACTGCAGCATCTTGGCCTTGTGAGCGAGAAAATATTGGGCCACGATGGACAACCAGTCAAAGCTGGGGAATGGGTGAGACAGAGGGTTATCAAGAACCTCGGTGCTACGAGCTCTGCCAAGGGTGATAACGAAGAGACTGATGTTGAGATTGTCAAAGGGGTAACAATCAAGTATTACGAGTAATAAGTAACTCACAGTGGGCAAAGCAAAGGAAGATGACGCGGATTTTATGCCGGAAGTAAGAAATGCAGAAATATCTTCTTGGGTGATAGTGTACGGCTATTGGCACTAAAAAAGCCGGTAGGAAAGACAATAAAAAATACGGCTCCTGTCCCGTGCCTTGGTAGAATACGTCGGAAGGACTTTCTGAGACGGAGAGGACGAAAAGAGGTCGAACAGCATCTGCTGTGATGTGATCGCATTTATCGAATGGACAATGGGAACATATTCAGTGAAACAATGGATTTACCTATCTTTGTTCTTATACAATAGTGGAAATAACAAGGAAAAATAATTACTCTTCAGAGATAGTGTAGCAAAATCGTCCACGCACTACCCAATCCACCGAAACCAAAACAATAATGCCTCCTACCATCGCAATGGCCCAGTTCATATCGACTATAGAAGACGGGGTTAGCTCTCACCCTTGTTCCGTAGAGATAGGAAATTATTCAAGACTTACAAAGATTACTGGCGTTCACTGGGGCGTAAAGAGGGAAGCTATCATCGAGGGTTTCCAAGTTAATTCGATATACCGCAAACTCGATGCCTGAATCGGAGAGCTTACAAGAGCATTACGATGATAAGGGATGACCAGCAAGCTGCCGCGATGTTGATACCAAGGCCGAAGCGCCCAAGAGTAAATGCCCTTTGCAAAGGAAGAGCAGACCGACCGCGCCAGAGCAGCTGATAGTGGTGTCAGTTCGGAATACCTGGTGGTTGGAAGGGGAAGAGAAAACAGGAGTGACTTACCAAAAGCACTGGAATTAGGTAGCTCATCTGCATAGCAACTCCGCCGAAGCTGACGATTACCTGAAAGGCGTAATCGCTGACAAAAACAATGACACCTGTTAAGGCGTTAATAAGACGAAGAATCCTGGGTAGGCATCAACACTAGTATACTGACCTATGACTATTTCGAGTGAAATGAAGAGAAGAATGGCGTTGAGTGGAGTCTGGAGTGTCTGGTTGATTTTCGCGAACGATTTCGAGAGGGGCAATGCGTTGTCGCGTGCCATGCTCCAGACAAGCCGAGATGATGCAGTGTTGATGCCGATAACAATAAGGAAACTGGACAGTCAGAAAACGCTTTACTCGGTTACTGGTAGAGGGGGTTGCTTACTTGGGGAGCACGATTATGGCGACCAGGAAGGCTGTGCCGCCGGTTACACCACGAAGGGTGTCAATGAACCATGACACAAAGGGCAGACTTGAAGAAATTAGATCAAGCTCGTGTGGGGAAAGGACTCAAAACAATCAAGGAGGTCAAGGGTGCTTACTCGGACTGCATGTATACTTCCCAATTCCCATAACAGAACGACATGACTATAGCACATAGGAATGAGGTAAGGCCGCTGAATATCATGGACCATACCATGGCTCTCTAAATGGAGAAGAATGATTGTGACATTAGCTCAAGTCACCCCCAAAACATAGATTTGAAAAAGGGAAAAACGAGGAGTGCTTACCGGAGCCGTTTTCGGCGCATCTTTAATCTCTTCGGCTATGTGAAGGATGCCGTCGGTGCCATAGAGGGCGTAAACCGGGGTATAAAAGCTCATTATCACGACCCAGCCAGTGCTTGTGTATCCAGACTGGTTCATGAATTGCGTGAAGACGAAGCTGGCGGTCTGCTTCGGCGACAGCGCCAAGAAGGTTGCCGCCCACGCTATGCCTCCGCCAAAAGTTATGAAACCTCCTACAACGGCAATCCACGGTAGATGTTTTTGGGACAAGGAAAAAAAGCCAGCGGGGATCAGGGTTGCGATGTAAAGCAGCCACGTCCTGTATCTCTGTATACTCATCGTTATCATCAGAGGAGGAGCAGCAGTGGGAGAGACTAACCGTCAATTCAAATTCAGGGTGGCTCAACTGAATCAACGAGCCAATAATCTGCGCATTGTTCATGGCACAGCCAGCCGAAGTGGCGATTTCGCCAAAGAAAATGACCCAACCGATAGCGTAGGATAAGAAGCGGCGAGTGCTGGACAGGGTCAGCGAAAGAGTATCACGTATTGGTTCAGACGTACCTGGGAGGAGCGAGAGTTTTGGTGAAAGCTCTGAGTAGTGAGCGGCAGAGTCGACTATTAGGTGAGGGTTTTTGATACTCACTGTTGGCCACCAGCGTAGGGCCAAACGGCACACATCTCGGCCAGGGAACTCATCATCAGACATTGACCGATAGTAACAAAGATGCTGTGGCACAGTGATAAGTCGTCGAAATTAAGATGGATGGACGACTCGTAACTTACGTTGAATAGATCAACATCATTGGACCACCGAGATCAGTTACGGTGCTGTAGAGAACGATATTGCAAGTCCAGCTGGCCATCATCAAAACCTGATATGCGGATGCTACAGAATCGGTGTCATTCCCGAATCTACACCAATGGAACGCGGAGAGCACGGCTTACCAGTCCAAATATTGTAAATCCTGTGTAAGACTTCATGGCTCGGCCTGCTCCGATCCTCTACTTGGCCCTCAGCAAAATCGGCAGCCCTGTCGCTTGTGCTGGATTTCTTTCCGTCATTGTCGGAGAGCATGGTATTGCTAGTCGGTAGTTCTTCGACGCGGCAGAGAGCAATTGCGCGAGAGGAGAAGGGTTGTGGTGTTGAGAGGATGATGGATGGGATTGCCGTTTGTGAGTAGTTCGTATTTATCCGTGATTAAGCTTCTGCAGCTTATCTTCTCCGCACGATGTAAGACGCGAAGGATCTAAGAGTGATCGGCACAGCAGCCTCGGCCCGCAAGATATGGCATGGCCCGTGCGCACCGGGGGGTACTCATTCGACCTTCCGCTTTGGGAATTCATGAGAACCGCCGCGAACTTTGGATGGTTTGGGGCGAGGCCGAGAGCTAACCTTCGCCACAGCTTGCTCAAAGCTTCGGCTCTCTGGAAGACACTGCCGGCGTCATGCTGAGTCGTTATCGATACTGGAGTTCGACGCTAATTCGCCGCCGGCCGGACTCCGCGGGCTCCTCGATTAACTACTACATTTTCCTCCATACTACATATATTATATCATGCCGGGCATCTAGATGTGTGTAGTACTACAAACCTCTCAAAGGTTAAGTTGCAACCATGGCAACCCGCGAAGGCTTTCTGTACACCCCAAATGACGACAAGCTCAAGCAAGGCTTAAAGTGCAGCGCGGTCATCACTCCGCAACGCAACATCCCCGCAAACGTCTCAGACACATTCGACGTCGTCGTCCTCGGAGCAGGCTATGCCGGGCTGACGGCATGCCGGGACCTCACGCTTTCAGGTTCGCATCATCCGACTAAGCCTGCACAAAGGTTTAGTACCGCGCTAACATTGTTGACTACCAGGCTACAAAGTTCTCCTCCTGGAGGCGCGGGACCGCATCGGCGGACGCACCTACACGGCCCAGGTGGACGGGCACCTGTACGAGATGGGCGGGACGTGGATCCACTGGCACCAGCCGCACGTGTGGCGCGAGATGTCGCGGTACGGCTTCAGCACTGACCTCGTCTCCAGCGACGGTGACGGAACGGGCAGCTGCACCTACTTCACCGCCCGCATCGAAGGCAAGACGGAGAACCTGAGCAAAGAGGAAGCGGCAAGTGACGCCCCCCCCCCCCCGCCCCCCCCCCACC